ACATATGCCTACCCTAGGATCCAAAAATTCCACTTCTAAACATTTATCTAACGCAAACATATGTCTGCAAAAAGGCTTATGCATGAATATTTATAGCACATCTATTCATAATAGATAAAAACTGTAAACAATCTAAAAGACCATCTCCCCATGAGTGTGTAAACAAATCAGAATTAATATACCATAGAATGCAACTCAATAAAGAAATATTGCTTGACAAGGAAAGAAGAAACCTCTTTTACATGGTACAATGGATGCAACTCAAAAGCATCATGCTAAGTGAAAGGAGTGAGACACAGAAAAAAACAGACTGTATGATTCCACTTACATGAAATTTTAAAAGGAGCAAGTTCTGCTTCCAGTCAAAATGAGTAGCAAGGACTTTATTTACCTTCCTGCCAGAAATAAGAACCACAACAAAAAAAAAAAACAATTGAGATGAAATAGTGGTTTGAAAGACACCACATCAGGTGATGAGGAATAATGATCCATGAGATTTGGGAAACATAAGAAGTGAGCCCTGTGACTGCCCCAGTTTATTGCCTTAAGAAAACTTCCAGGCCTTCATGCAAACAGGGGGAACTCGGGAAGAGCTTGCCATTTCCCTGACTTGAAAAGATAGGGTTTGGAATTTGGATAGGCCAAGGTGGCTGAAGTTCACAAGATGAAGTACCAGGGAGATGAGAGTTGCACAAACTTGAGTTCACATGAGACTGGCAATAGTTCTTGTTCCCACCAGAGTGGAAAACCACAGAATTCACGGGCCATCAGATATAGCACTCGGAAGTGTTTTGCCTCAATAGCGAGGCAAGATTAGCCAAACACTAAGTGCTGTTTTGATCCCAACAACCAAAGCTTAAAAGCAAGGCCCAGAAGGATCATAGAAGGGCTTTCCAGCACCCAGCTTTCTTAGTAGTACATAGAGAACCCCAGAGTTCTGTGGGTCTCAGGGCCCACTGACCTGAGAGGGAAGAAGGGGCATTGAGTGCGCAGAACAACGGGCTTACAGTCCCCTCTTTAACCAGATTTATCTGCCTTTACATCATGGATTGGATTTCTGGGGAAGGCGTAAGTTGGAATAAGAGGTCCCACATCTAAAATATGTACAAGCACTGCATAGCAGTTAGATACAGGTTGTGTCATGGAATCCCGGCCTTCAGAGGCCTGTGCTCTCTGGACTTCACAGTCCCTCTTGGAGACTCTGGTCATTGCTCTCCCCCTGGATCCCCCTGATGTTCCTCACTAGCTGACAGTGTTCTGCTTGAACCCATTCCTTGGTACCCAGTCATTCTGATCAAATCCTTCTTTCTCAAAGTAAAAGGAAAAATGTTATTGACATTTCAGAATTTTAAATCATGCCCAGAGGAATTTTGGTACTCAAGGCATCACTGAAGAAATCCTGCTTTTCATGGATGAGAGATTAAGTTAATTTTCTGCTCAACCTACTTAGAAAACGGGGAAATTAAAATAACCGAGACAACGTATTTTCACCAAAAGGTTGACCAAAATTTAAAAGCCTGATTAAATGAAACGCCTGTGAGAGTGTAAATTATTTACATACATTACTATGGGAGAATATGAATCAGTACAGCTTTATTAGAACAAAATTTAAACAATATTCACAAAAATTTATGATCATTACATTCTTTCCACTTGATTCCAATTTGCCCTTTGCTGTCTTTCCTATAAGAAAACATACATATTTGCCCAAGAATTCATGTCAATGATGCTGATTTCAGTTCTACCAAGCACACTAACAAATGGAAAACAACCTATGTGTGCGTCAAGAGGACACTGGTTAAATTAATGATGATGGCATATAGACACTTTAGAATTCTAGGGAGTGAATGAGTGACATGGGTCCATATGTGCTCTCACGGAAAGATCCTGCATTCATTTGAGTAGGTGACAAGGGCAAGAGACAGAAAAATGTATATACTATTATCCATGTATATTAAACACTCACAATGTATTTTTATAACACATCTGTGTAGGAAACAGTCCAGAATAAATTTTAAAATAACACAAAAGTTTCAGTTACAAAATAGTCACAGGGGTATAAGATACAGCGTAGGTAATATAGTAAATAACGCTGTAATAACTATGTGTGGTGCCAGGTGGGTACTAGAGTTATTGAGGGAATAACTCTATTTTTTAATAACATAACTTTGGAAGTTATGTAAATGTCTGACCACTACGCTGTACACCTGAAATTAATACAGCATAATGTTAAATGTCTATTGTAATCAAAACACTAAAACCATCAATAAAATAACACAAATTTTTAATTGTGGTTACTTCTGGAGAGGGATGAATTTTGTAAGAGTGTAATAAGGAAAAAGAATTGTGACTTATCCGTATGGGTAGAAGTTTTGGGCAATAAGACCAGTTCCACTATGACCTAAAACCAAAATTTCTCTTGGGGAAATCAGAGAGCCAAGTGCCAGTGGAAGGATATCGGTTTTCTCTTTTTTTAGGAGGCTATCAAGGGTAGCATGTCTTCCATGGAGTCATTTCCGCTTCCTACAAGGACTCCTGGGTTTTTAATGGTTTCCATGTTCTTTCCCCATCTGTTCCTTATGGAGGAAGCTTTGGTTTTGACCAACAAAGTAAACTCATTTATTGGTATTTGTGATCAGTGGCCTATCTGAAATAATTCAGTCCATTAAATTTCTACTGGAAATATCAGGGTGGTTTCTAAAACCTCCTCTCTACTCCAGAGGAGACCCTAGTCATCAGCAAATTCGAAAGCACTGAGAATGTGGTAGAGGCAGCCAGGGGGGAGGAGGGGGTGTCTAAAGGTCACTGTCCCAAGTGAGTCATCGCATAGCAGGGGCTGCTGTCAGAGGGGCCCCCAGGGAAGGCCCGGGTCCGCAGGGAGGTGGGATGCTCTAGGTCCGGAGGGCAGGGGTTGTGGGCTGTGTGTCCCACGGGGAGCAGGTAGGGCCTGCAGAGGAGGAAGCAGAGGACAGCTGGCGGGCAGGACAGGTTCCAGTCCACACAGGAGGCACACCGGGGACCACCCAGGGAGAGGGGAGGGGCGCCGTGATGCAGGGAAGTCCGCGACTGGACGCTTGGGCTGGGCCCAGGGCAGAGTCAGCTCTCAAGGAGCCCTGGTGTTGGGGGGCAGGAGGACCGTAGGTAAATGAAGCCCCGGACGATCCCCAAATTGTGTTTGATTCTCATGTCGCCTTCCTTCTTTAGGCCTGCTCTTTGCACTTTAGCCACAGGCTTTTTCTTCTTACCGCGTGAGACACATGGAACAGTGAGAAGAGAAATGAACTGACAGACACAAGGCAGGGAGGAGTGGAGCGGCGTGGGCTCTCGAGGGCTCCGGCCACACTCACCAGCTGTGGGAACTCGGCCCCCCGCCCAGCCCTAGGAGCCTCGGATTCTTCCTCAGCAGAGTGGGTTTGGTAGCCTCCCTTCCAGGACTGCTGGAGCCCGTGCGCTGCACTTAAGCGCCTGGCCCCGCGATCGCTGCGCGCTGAGCCTGTACAAATGGCGACTATTGCTGTGATTTATTTTGACCTCAGATAAGACCAACCGTCCTGCTGAGATTGTGGGGTGTTTTGTTTTGTTGTGTTACTCCAGGAGGTATCTGAGAACATGCAGTGCCCTGGGACACTGAACACCAGGTCAGCCAAAAACTCTTGCTTAGCAAGAAAAAAATACCTTAGCAAATCATTCCTCTTAGAGGATGTGCACTGTTTCATTTGGATGTTGGGGGTCCTCTTCATGGGATGCAGAGCTCCTAAAATAGGTGTCAGAAAGTAACTCCTTCCTCCTGGCTGCCCTTTGATCCAAATCACCCCAATTTTCATTCATGAAACCCCTAGCAAAATCAAGCCCTCCCTTAGAGCTTGCACCTTGCACTTAGGAAAACCCAGCTGAAATGCCCTTCGTGTGCGGCACACTCAGCCCAGGTCACAGGGTGCAGGTGCCGTGGCTTCTTGGCACCCCACCTTGAGGAAGTATCACCCTTGCTTATCAGAAACTGTTCGCCTGCACCTTCCGTCCCTGCCGCAGGTGCAGATTTCTCTCTGGTTTATCCATGATCCCACAGTAACTGCTAAAAGCAGTTATCCACTGGAGGCTTAGCTTCTCGACTCTGAGACCCACCACCCAAGGGTCTGGCCCTTGCTCACCAGCCTCGCACCCTCTTCTGATGCGGCACCGCCCACCTTAACTCAAAACTACCCCCCAGTGAAGGACTTGAGGTTTCCCAAGGCCCCAGATCGTCTTGCCTCAGGACATTTGTACCTGACTTCTCTCATCTGAACCTCCTCTTCCTCCCCTCCTCCCATTTCTTTTCACTTGTGTTTTTGTCTGTGTGGGCATCTCACCATCTTCCTTTTCTGGAAACTCGTTGTAGTCTCGATCATTCTGGGGGCAGAGCTTGCGTCTTCTGCTTACCACCCCGCTACTCCCAGAGACCCTTCCCAAGAGCAGAAGCTCAGTTAATGTCGGAGGAATAAAAAAAGCTGGTAAGCAATTCATTAGGGTTTAATGTCTCCTATATACTTGAATAAATGAAACAAGTGCAAGCATGTAACTTTTATTTTATAGAACAGCAGAACACAAGGAAGAAGGGAAGCAAAGCATTGGCTATCTTTTCTTTTTCTCTATTTTTTGACTCCCAACTATTTTCCCACTAATTCCTTTCACATTTCTAAGGAAATGGCATTCCAAAGACATGCTCTATTTTTGCTCAGATCACTAAGTAAGATGGAATGTTGCCCCACCCGTTTAGTAAGGTAGCAAAACTTACTCCTAAGCTTCATAAGCAGCCTAACATATGTAACTAATATCATTCATGCACCTAGAGCCTGCAGCTAGCTAAACTTTTCTTAAAGAACAACTTTTTAAAACTTGCAACAGTAAGATAAAGCTATAAGTGCCTAATATAGAAGAGGAGCACAGACAGACACTGTGTTCTCCCCAGCACCCCCTGGGCCCCCACCCTACTTCAGCACTGAGTGAGGACCGTGCCTCAGGCTTCAGGGCCTGTAGGGAGAGCTGCAGAAATTGATCCTGGGACGCACACTGGCCGAGGGTGCGCGGCTCCTCGCAGCTCCCGACCTGGCTCGGGCTCTCTCTTCCTCATCCCGCAGAGCCTCTTCATACCAGAGCGGGAAGGCACGGGGGTGGGTATCATGAAGCTTGGCTAGGAACTCCAGCACTTCCAGCTTGCTCGTCTCGGCCTGGGCTCGGGGGCCCCACAGGAACTCGTAGCGCGGAGGGTCACTGCCGAGCACCTGGCGGTACTCCAGGTATCTCTCCCGCACCAGGTCTTGAGTGATGAGCTTCTTGGGCTCCCCATGGATGAAGTGCCTCTTTCCAGCGTAGATCCCCATCACGTTCAGGACATCCCAGATGTCTTCCTCAGCGGCACAGTTGCCCTTCATGAAGATCACACACAGGATGGTCATCAGGAGGCCCCTCTTGGGCACGATCTCGCCGGTCAGCCGGCCACCACGGGCGTGGCGCAATTTGCTGACAAGGATGAAGTAGTTTCCGGCAGGGTCGGCGTCCTTTATGTCCATGCCGAAGGCCAGCACCATGAGCTCGGAGGCTTTCCTGAGGATATCGTAGAAGTGCTGCTTGTGCTTTCTGATGACATACTTCATCATGTCTTCCTTTCTTATGGGCTCCCTCATGTTATGCTTGCGCAGCATGAACTGCACCAGCAGAATCGCCTTCTGCTCCAGAGGGGTTGGGCCGGAAGGCTCGGTGCTGGGCTCTGCCTGGGAGGTGTCTGGCCCTTCCGCACCGTGGCCCTCGGCACCTTCCTCACGCTGGCCCTCGGCACCTTCCTCACGCTGGCCCTCGGCACCTTCCTCACGCTGGCCCTCGGCACCTTCCTCAGGCTGGCTTGCGGCCCCTTCCTCGGGCTGGCTTGCGCACGAAACGCCTGCAGAGGGAGTGGGAGCAGACGGGGCTGCCCGAGACCCCGGGGGTCTCTTCCCTGAGCCCGCAGCAGGGGAGCTCTGGGGATCATCACCACAAGGAGGGGAGGGAGAAGAGGGGACCCCTTCAGCCTCCGCCGACATGGCCTGAGCACCCTGGAGACTCTGAGACTCACTCCGGGCCTGGCGGCGTTTCTCACGGGCGCGGAGCTTACTCTTCTGTCCACGAGGCATGATGGCAGTGGTCCGGACCCGCAGGGCAGAGCGCGGCGGCAGGGCAGGGACGCGGGCACCTGGAGGACGGGGTGGGGGAGGGGAATGAGACCGTGCGTGCCCCTTCAGCAGGGGCATTGCGCCTTGGCTTGGACCAAGGCCGCCTCTGCAGGGCCCAGGGCGGTGCCGGAGGAACCCCAGGGCTCCCGCTCCATCCGCCTGTGCCTTGAGGCCTCTGCGGAGGGAGGTGGCGTGAGCCTGAGGCCCAGGGCAGGGCTGGCACGGCGAGGCTCTGCGGGGCCCCCTCTCCTTCACATTCTGGGTCGCCCTGTCAACCACCTGTCGGAGGGACCCAGCGTCCTCCCCCTGCCCCTCTGAAGCCAAACTCCTGACACCCTTGCACCCACGGCCTTAGGTCCCCGAGCCGCCAGGGGGACATGAGGGCGAGCCGTAGCTGGCCGCCCCTGCCGGGGCCTTCCGGAGCTGGCCACAGGGTCCCCTTTGTCCTGAACGGTTCGCGTTTCCCGTCCTCACTCACGTGGCCGCCCGCATCAGACCAGGTCCTCGCCCCGACCCCGGTCCCCGAGTGTGACAGCCCTGCTCGGCCCCAGGTGGACGCCGCGGCAGGGGTGCGTGTGGGCGCAGAGTCCCCTTAGTCCTTACCCGGGCTCTTCTCCTGGCCTCCTCGACTCCGAGCGAAGCCTGGGAAGCTTCTCTCCTGATGCGTGTCTTCGAGACCCAGAGCAAAGCCTTCGCTTCGGGACGCAGGAGACAGAATGCAGGGAGGGGCGCTGGCCTTCACGGCAGCTGGGCTTGTCCGCGGGGCGAGAAGCAGCGGCGCGCTCCGCGAGGTCTGCTCCGTTGGGGCAGCGGCTGCTGTTTCCGCAGTTCCGAGAGCCCACGCCTTGCTTTTAAGCACGGCCTCGCCCCTCCGAAGCCCAGACCCCTGGAGGCGGGAGCCAGCCAGCTCCTCCCGCTGGCGCGACTGAGAGCGGGGCGGGGCTCTGTGTGGCCCTCCCTGCTGGGCGGGCCGTTCCCCGCGGTCCCCGCTGTCCGCACGGTCCCAGGGTGGAGGCAGAGGAGGGGGGCCTCCTGGCGGCCTCGTTCTAGGCTCCCGGGGGAATTGGAACCCTCTGAGAGCTCTGAGCTGTTTCCCTACTGCAAACCTTTTGCAGAAAATGGGCGGAGCCCTGGGCCGTAGGGAAAAACACACTGACCCGCAGCCTTTGTTCGCCAGCCAGGTTTGGACTTTTCCGAACCTTCTGCGCTAAAGGAGCTTCTTTCTAAGGACAAGAGGCTGAGCCACATGAATTTGGGAGACCCGGATCTCCTGACATTATCGAACATTGGTCAATCCGGTGCAGTAACTTTTGTTTTATTTTTTGACCCTCACTTATGAATTAAGAAATAGATTTACATCTGTAACAAGTTTGTGTATATGTGCGTATTTTTTTTTCCACGAAAGAATGTCTACCCTTGTTAAGTGTGATTCATTCTTTCCATTCCTTATGAGAGTAATGTTAATTCTTTGAAAGGTCTGTCCTCACCCTCTAAGGAGGTTTCAAGTGCTTACTACACAGCTTCTGGACTCATACTGCTTCAGACAACCCCAAACTTGGTGCCATCCTGATAGTACTGTATCATCCTTGCATGCGGACTCTGAGGAGCTACTTTGGGTTCCTTCAGTGAAGCAAAAATTCACTGTGCCAGGGCACACTGAAGGAAACAAGGGCTGAACTTTAAAATCTTTCCTCCAACCAAGGCTGCCATCTCTCTCCTTTGTAGGCTACAGACCTGTCTCAAACTCAGAGCAGCCCCCGCACAGGTTCTATTGGAGTTCAATATGTACAGCTTCTGCCAGGATTTTCTCATTTATGTGGTTTTGCTGTTGCTGATATTATTCTTTCATTCCCCTTTTTACAGTTTGTCAGGGTTGATTTCAGGAAACAGCAGCCCAAGTCTTGTGGCCATCTTAAAAGCCACATGTGTGACAATGTATTGATCAGCTTGGACTGAACAATAACAAAATATGGTAGATTTGGTATCTTAACAAGAGACAATTCTTTTTCCTCACAGTTCTACCGCCTAGAAGTCTCAGGCTGAGGTGCTGGCAGATTCACATTCTGGTAAGAGCTCTCTTCTTGGCTTTGCACATAGGCACCTCCTTGCTGTGCCCTCACATGGACTCTTCTTCGTAAATTCACACAAGGAGAGTGCTCTCTGATGTCTTCCTCTTCTTATAGGAACTTCAGGCCTTTCGATTAGGGCCCTCTAAGGTAAGTGGAGGCAATCTGGTTTCCTCACCCAGATGCTTGGGTAACTAGGGGGAGCAGCTCCTCACAACCTTGAAGGAGTCTGATAAAGCAGTGCTCTCACAGCCTTGAGCCTGGGTCTCATGGCCTTGGGTCTGGGTGTGATAAACCACTCCGTAGTCTTGAGTAGGCCAGCATGTGCAGCTCATGCTAGGTTACTTCACTTTTTGGCATGACTCCAGCTTTGTTTGTGCTAGTAACTTAAGGAGGCAGGGACTTCTCACAGAAAGAGAGAGAGAGAGAGAGAGAGAGAGAGAGAGAGAGAGAGGGAATCGGGGCACCAATGTAGATGCGGGCTTGTGGCCTGTGTGACTCCTGAATAAAGGCATGTTAAGCATCCCCAGGGCTCCACACATTTTCTTCTGTCTACCTGAGTCTCCAGTGGACCTGGCCCAGCCTAGGGAGGCTGCAACACAGGCCCCACCCTTATGACCGCATTTAACCATAATGACCTCCTTAAAGACCCTATCTCCAAAAAGAGTCACATTAGGAATTAGGGCTTCAACCATGAATGGGGTGGGATGGGGGGGAGAGGGGGACAAAATTCAGTCCAAAGCAGGTAGTATATTTGTAAATAACTTAAGGAGAATTGACATATTGACAATATTCTTCTCCTCATGAATAAGAATAGTGTACTCTTGTATTTATTTGACATTTTTTTCCCTAAGTCTATCAGTACATTTTTATAGTTATCTTCAAAAACATAGTGTACGTTTTTGTTAGGTTTCTCTTTAGATGAATTTTGGATGTTGCTGCTGTTGTTTTTCTATTAATTATCTTGATTAGTTATTGATTTTGTGTTGTTAGGCTCCTAATTTTGGCATAGTAACCTTCTATGTAATAGCTTCTGGAGTCTCTTATTCATTTGGGTATTTTATGCACTGGCTCCTTTGAATTTTCTAATTAAAAGATCATATTGTCACCACTTATTATCTCTGTATTTTCAATATTCCTTCCTCTTATTTATTTTGATACTTTTATTCCTCTAGTTATGTATTCCAGTCCACTTTCTAAACAGCAGATATGGTAGCACAGCATCTGTGTCTTTATCCTGACTTTAATGGAAATGCTTATAACATTTCATATTTATGTGACTTTGTTGTAGGTTTTAAGAAATGGAAATTCTCTTCAAATGTTATTTTGCTAAATATTTTTACCTCGAATTGGTGTTAATAGTTTTTCAAAGACTTTTTCTGCACTCCTGGAAATGGCCAAATACATTTTATCTTCTAATTTGTTAATATATAGAAATTACAATTGACAATATTTTCTAATATTGCAATATCTTTGCATTTCTTTAACTCAGCCTATTTGTTCACTGCTATATTTGACATGCTATGAATTTATTTAAGGTAGATGTGAAACATGAGCGTGCTTGGCTTGAGCAATTTTTTTTTCCTTGGGGTAACCTTATCTGGTCTTTGACTCAAGGTTAGCACACCTGCCTTAAAACTCAACATTAGGCAAGAAAAGAGTCGACGTTTTTAAATGGGCATAGAATTCGAACACACATGTCACCAAAGAGGATATATGGATGGCAAATAAACAAATGAAAAGTTATTCATCTAAAACCTATATAATTTTGTTAACCAATGTCACCTTAATAAATTCAATAAAATTCAGAAAACAAGATGTTCAACATCACTATCCCTCAGGGAAATGTAAATTAGTAGGAATGTAAAATGTTCCAGGCTCTCTGGAAAATCTGGTAGTCTTTTATAAAATTAAACATATATCTCACATATGACCCAGTAGGCCCCTCCTGAGTATTTACATTGGAGAAATGAAAACTGTTCATAGCAGTTTTATTTGTAACAGGGAAAAAACTGGGAACAACCTAAATATTCTTCAACAGGTGAATGAATAAACAGACTGTAGTAAATCCAAACAGTGGAATACACCTCAGCATTAAAAAGGAACAGATTATTGATACATTTAGCAACACAAATGTATCTCAAGCACATTTTGCTAAGTGAAAAATACAAATATCAAAAGGTTACTGTATGATTCCATTTATATAAAATTCTCGAAATGACAAAATTATAATAATTTGATATAAAGACCAGATAAGGATACCCCAAGAAAAAGATGAGTGTTTTCAAGGGCTAAGGTTTGTGGGAGTCAAATACCAGAGTATTTCTTTGGAGTGTTGAAACAGCCTGTATTTTGATTGTGATGGTGGTTACAAAAATTTGTACATGTGGCAAAATTTCATAAAACTATACGACAAATTGTGTGTAGAAAAAATGCTTAACACAAATCTACCCCCTTAATTTTTTAAGTGCACGGTACTGTATTGTTGACTATAGGCACTAAGTTGTACAGCTGATCTCTAGGATTTATTCCTTTTGTATAACTGTAACTGTATACCTATGGAACAACTCAGCATCATGTATTCCAGGTCCACCCATGTTGCTGCAAATGGTAGGATGTCTTTCTTTTTTAAGGCTGAATAATACTCCATTGCATGCACATAACCACACTTTCTGCATCCATTTAGTGAACATCAAATCATTTCAATCATTGCCAAAACATCCATCACAGGGAGACCGGTTAAATAAACTGTGGTACCGCTAAAAGTGTGTAGCTTTAGAAAAAATGACAACACTGTCTACAAATATGGAAACAGCCAGGATAAGTGAAAAAGCAAGGTGCAGAGGAGTGCATGTATTACCTTGCTATTTTTAAAAAAGAAAGAGCTAAGATGTT